TTTTATTTATATTTATTTTTTTGCACTTATTGTTATTGCTATTATATAGGGGGATAACAATCCCCCTATATAATAGCAAAGGCACACTGACAGGTCCTCTTTATGGAGACATTAGGGGTCTCTAGGATCCCTAAAGTCACCTGTGGACCCCAAAAGAAGCAGCTTCTTCTCTCTGGCTATAGCACGAGCACATATAGACGATCGGCGGGCAATGGAGCCGCTGATCGCCTATATGTGAAACACCCGGGAACGGGTGTGTGCATTGGTCGGGTCCTTTCTGCCCGTGCGTGCTCGCTAGGGGGCGCACGCGAGCAGAAAAAAATTGCCGTCTGGAGACGGCAACCCGCCAATGCTGCAGTGCCGTCCGTCCGTTTTTTTACTACGGGTGGACGGCAAGAGGTTAATAGATAATATATGTTTAATTACTGGCAGTTAGAGATGGGCTCGATGTTCGAGTCCAACAACAGTTGGACTCGAACATCGGTAGTTTGTGTGTTCGGTGGACACACGAACCATCAGAGCGTTCAGTAGACTGTTCGCACTGCACTGTGCCTTGTGAAGCCCTGATTGGGTAAAGCAATGTGGTCAGGTGCAAGACTTTGCCCAATCATGGCACGGTAATTTGCCCAATCATGGCTCACAGCTAAGTCCTGTCAGGTGCCGCACAAATGTAAACAGTTGGGCGGAGCTAGCAAAGAGGTCACCGCTAGCTCCGCCCAATTGTTTATATTTTGCCAGCATTTGTCAGAATGCCATTCTGTTGCGGGAGTTTGTCGTAAGCAGACGGGTCGGCGGGCGTTGTTTAAAAAAAATATTTGTATTATTTCTATTTCTTTTTTTTTCTTTATTTCGTCAAGTCGTCGGCGTGGACAACACTAGACGTCATACTAGACCCTTGATTACGTCGGTGGATCCAGTTTTTTTAAAATAAAAGACTTGTCAAAGACATCTTTTGTTTTTTTTTCAATGAAAGGATTTTTTCAAAAGTCTGGTGTTTTTATTTACAATTTATTTTAACCCTTTAGTGAATGGGTAGAGGTACAAGTACCCCTTACTCATTCACAAGGAGGGGGGCTGCATCTGGGTGTCCCTTTATTAAAGGGGCAAGCAAAACAAACGACAAACGCACTCAACAATTTGTCACCAGTTATACAGTAAGGTGCACACGAAATGGGCTTTATTAAAGGGGCACCCCGATGTAAATAAGCCCCCTGCCCGCAACTCCACAACAAACGCCCCAAGGCTTGAGGGGAAGAGCGCCCTTGTCCCCATCGGCACAGGAACAAGGTGCTTTTCCCGGGGCAACCCTGGAAAAGTAAGACCGACAGCCGATTGGTGAGCTACATGCAAATGTGTTGACAAGAAACATGCCAATAGGAGGAGAGAGCAGAGCAGGCACAGAGATGACCACACAGAACTGCTGCTTTTTCCCTGTCCTGTCAGCAGGCTGGATGTGGAGTATACTTGGCAATATATGAGAAGCTCCTGGATAATCCAACCCACCAGTATCTACATGCCTTTAATAATCAGCTTTGGGAAGACTGACCCTTTACCAAGGTACATGATAATTGATATAGACAAAAATAAATCAGGTGTACATACAGTTGACTGAGGAATTTCCCTCAGCAGTGGTATACCAGCTGATCTCCATTGGCAAACCAATGGTGGTGGGTGTGATGTGGTGGGCTGCCACAGCAACTACTGCACGGGCAAACTGGCTGATCAAGCCATTCAAAAGCTTGATGATGATGTTCTTGATGGTAGCGTGCCTTTCTGCTGGCACGTTCAGTGCCTACATGGAATGGAACAACAAATGTATGTTAAAAGAAAAAATAGCCTCCATCTCCAGTAATATCCAGGAAACGGGGTTTAAGGTCCTATCCAGGTGGTACCGAGTGCCAAAAACCCTACATAAAATGTTTCAACAGTGCTCACCGCTATGTTGGCGCTGCCAGGAGCAGGAGGGATCGTTACTACACATATTCTGGTCATGCCCACGGCTCAATGAGGTTCGGGGTAAGGTGGCGGAGATATGCCACAAATTGACTGGAGTTAGCTTGGGGTCCGATCCGGCTGCGTATCTGCTCCACTTGGCCCCCATGCCCTTACGCCGATACAAGAGATCTCTCTTGGCACAATTGCTTAATGCGGCGAGAGTGTGCATACCTTTGTACTGGAAGCGCACATCTGCACCACCGATCTCGCTGTGGCTGACGAGGGTAGGGGAGATCTACAGGATGGAAGATCTCCTGGCCTCGGCTAACCACAGAGTAACATAGTTCAACCGCACCTGGTTCTACTGGACGGACTTCATCTCGTCCACAGACTATGCAGCCCTGCTGGGGGGGTGTGAAAGACGGACCATGGATACCCCATGGCGCCCAGGGGTTTACCCGGGATGGGGATGCGAGACGGCCACCAGTTGGAGTGCACGTATGACTGACGGTATGGCCAGGCCACTGGCCAGGCCATATAGAGGTAAAAACGAGAGCCGCTGGAGGTTCGCTGGGAGATATCGGCACCTCTCCCACCCTTACTGCCCTCTCATCTTTTTCACATTCTTTTCTCATTCTTTTCTTCTGTTAACCGCCTTGTATCATTTTTGTCTATAAGCATGAAGTTGCTAGGTACCTGAAGTTCATAAATAATCACGTGATATAATGGAGCAGAGTATATAAGTATTATTGCTGAACTGATGTGTGTTCGAATCTACAAGGTGGTTATCACATGTTATCCTACGACTAATTGGGTCGTCTTTGACCCACCTTTTGTACTATTTGTACAACTGTTATTTGTCTTATTTTTTGTTTTCTACAAAATGGAAATACCTATAAATAAAGAATTTATAAAAAAAAAAAGAAAAAATATGCAAAATATATCTAGCTTTCGTATTCCTGAACCTGTAGCAGTTCTTACCCGAGTTCTAGGCTGGATGGGGGCTCCGTTGATCTCACTGAATGACAACTCCTGACCAAAGACCTTGATGTACACAGAGAACATTGGGCTCTGGGAAGGCTGTGCTTTTAATCCCTTTAACTGTCCAAAAAAATACAAAGGTGCTTATTGATATTATCTGAAGAATTTTTTGAAGGCATGGAACAGGAAGGAAGATACAAAAACTCTTAGTTGGTGGACACCGTCTGCATGGAATTTGTATGTTCTTAACATGTTTGAATGGGTTTCCTGTAGATGCTCTGGTTTACCGTTACAAATATATTTATATATTCATCAGATTTTGACCAAGGTGGCTTTGTTGCTATATTAATATTAAGGATGCACTGATACCGGTTTCTCGGTATCGAGTACCGATATTTATCTTTCCATACTCGCCGATAGCGACTTCCGATACCGGTACGTCCACTAGCATGGAGCTGGCTTCTTGACCAATCAGCATTGAGCTGGCCAAACAGCATGGAGCCGGCGTACCAGCCAATCAGGAAGTCGGGCAGCGAGTCATTACCCGCCGTCTGGCTCCCTGATTGTCCGGAAAGCCAGCTCCATGTTCCCTTGTGGCACTGCTGGTCACAGGAAATCTCCCTCTGACCGGGTAAGTATCGGAGCATTTGGGAAAGTACGAGTACTAATATCGGTATCGGTGCATCCCTAATTAATATGGTAGGTGCAACTACTGTAAGCCTAAGACATTGCTGCTCCTGGTCCCATGTGGTCAGGAGTACCAAACAGGACTGCCCCACACCCCCCTTCTTCCCAATCTCCACTTGGCATATAGGAAAATAAAGCTATAAATGAAAATATACAAAATCCTAATTTTTTTTAGCACCTTGAACACTATAATCTTTTTACTTAAGACATGGAAGGGGTGCGGGTTCAATTTTTGACTAGTGTCTTGGTGTTTAAGCTACATAAAACAAGAAAATCAATCTCACCAAGTTCAGAATCTGGCTGATCTTCTTAGGCGTTGGCAATTCACCAAATTGAATATTTCGCCGTCTCATGATATGAGTAAGTCCTTCAGCTCTTATACCAACCTATGCAACATAGAAAAACATTTAAAACAATGTAATTCACAAATCTAATTATTCTCAGGCGAATGTGTTATTGTATGTGTGTATATATATATATATCTATTGTTATCTGTTAGCCTAAAGGCGGCCATACACTTTACAACCCTCGCAAGACTTTTGTCTTGCAAGAGTTGTAAAGTAATTTAAAAAACATACGATCTGCTCATCTTGGACAGGCAGATCGTACTTCCGATGACTGCAATGCTGAACAGGCAGTGTGCGCGTGCGCACACCGGCCCGTTCGGCTGTTATCTCTTGATCATGTTAACAACCAACCGAAAATCGTACGATTCTCGGCTGGTTTTCCAACATGCTTGAAATACAAAAGTCGTGCGACCGTACAGTAGACACGGTCGCACGCCTTCCATACACTGCACGATGGTCGTACGATCGCGGGTTTTCCCGCGATTCTCGTACGATAATCGTGCAGTGTATGGGCACCTTAACAATCCCCAAGAGACCTAATTAACAAAGTAATTTACAAGCCCTGCTGAAGGGGGATTTTCTTAACCCCTTTAATGTGTTGGTTGTTTTATCCTGTTGATCTTTTGTAAATAAAAAATGTTTGGACTTTACTTGTTGTAGTAGCAGCCCTGTCTGTTCTCCATTGAGTGCTTTCTGTCAGGGCTGTCTGAATCCTAGTACTGGATGGACAGAACTATTAAACAGCTCCCAAATATGTATTTCCACGGGGTACTTTTAATTTAAAATGACACAATACCTGCCTATAAACAGATTCAATTATTTTATGTGTATGCATAAACAGCTCCACAAAATATTTTGCTGTTTGCTGTTTTGCTGTTCCGCTGATACTTTGATGCTGTGCTGTCAATGCATTTCTTTCCATTGTCTATACAGATACTTTCTCCTGCATGATGTCACTATGGGATAGATGTACTAAAGGAGTAGAGACTCTTCACTTAATAAACTGTAGCTGCGTTCCCTTTGCTATATATATATATACATACAACATAAGCACATAAGTACACACTATAATATATATTGCTAAGCGATACTTCACTTTAACAAATTGAACTTTGCATCACACGAAAGTATTATATTTTGCCTCCATTGACGGTCACGAGTGGCTATCGCATACTCATTATGTAATGTTCATATTTGAAAAACAAAGTATAGAATAAACATTTTGCTATACCTCTCCTATATCAACCTGTGAACCGCCAATGTTAGCCTGCAGTTTTCCAAGCATGAATACAGGGGACAGAGTATTTGGACTGTTCATAACGTAGATCTTTACAGCAGCTTCTGACATGAGAGAATCTATCATGGAAAGAGTCAATTTAAGAATTTTTAGCTATTATTATGTATTAGTACTGACTGCTTACGCTTATACCTACTTTTAAATGTGTCATTACGCATGACTTTGCTGAAACGGTAACCCAGATTATCAATGTTTGGATTGAAGAGCTTCAGAGCGACATTGGAAGCAGCAGCCCTAGTAGAAAGATGTCTGATTAGTTATAAATTGTCAACCCTGATAAATATCTTTGATGTAGAAATCTAAGGCCATATACCAACATGTATTTCCTTATTGACACTGGAAACCCTTATACAGTTGTTGAGTTTTTGGTACTTACAGAGGTTCTAGTTGGGGAACGCTGCTATTGGCCAAGGCTTTCATTTGAGAATAGACAAAGCTCGCAAGCTGTAGGTTAACTTTGCTTGCTCTGACAGCCACATTGGCAATGTTGGTGACCATAGCAGGGCCGGGTTTGGTCTCGAATAAGGCCAAACAAGCCATCATCCTCACTTCAGTGTGAACTTCAGGATCCATGTAGACTTGCATAAGAATTTCTTGCACCTAAAAAGATAGTATACCCACATGGGTTATGGTGAGAAGGGAATAAAGGAATCAAAAAGCCCCTCAACAATTAAGTTTTCTTAAAACAGAAGGTATTCACATGTCCTATTCCAAGACAAGCCTTGAAAAAATGGGAACACAGAAAGAGTCACAGGATGGCCTTCACTCACTTTACGTGGATCCCGTCTGGCGATGTTTCTTAAAGCCATGACTGCATCAACCTTGACCCTGATTGGAAGCTGAGCAGCGCTGGAAGAAAAGCCTGGCAAGAACTTTAGGATACGTTTGAGGCTTTGGAGCTGACCGGCATTACCAAGAGCTTTCAGAGCCAAAGTCATGTCCTCTTCATGGACCTTGCTGAGGGCATCAGCAGCCAAATCATGGAGGGGCTAAAAAGAGCAAAAACAGCTTTGTAATCATGTGCACTGTGCTGTGATCGGGCAAATTCTTGCACCTGACCTGTGATCAGGTGCATTGCTTTACCCAATCAGGGCTTCATAAGGCACTGTGGCAAGCAAACAGCCCGTTGAACGCCCTGATAATTCGTGTGTTCGCTGAACACACGAACTGCCAATGTTCGAGTTGAACTCTTGCTCGACTCGAACATCAAGCCTATCCCTATGAATTAGTGTACATCTGGCTCCCTGCACTGATCCACATTGGCTGACTTACACCTTCCATATACAGTATATTAGCCAATAATTTATGAATGTGCCTAAACTAATCATTAATCAAATGTGTGTATCATAAATAAAAATATTTTCTCCATACAAAACACGTTTTATTTTATTAGTCAAGAATAACTTACCTCCAGAGCAGGCTCGGGGCAAGTGGGCAGGTGAAGACAGTATTTGTTGACCATTGAGCCATAGGCCAGGACTGTGCGTTTGTACAATGTTGGGTTTTTCTGGATTTTGGGGTCTTGGATTAGGTTCTGGGAAAAAAAAAGCAAATTGATCAATGAGACACCTGAAAACGATAGAAGTCTGTAGAAGAAGACTGATTGGATGATCTGAAATCAAAGTGAAAGTTATTAAGTGGTTTGTCAGCCCACAGGGAATATGGACTGATCTGCATGCCATTAAAGGGAAATGCTATACTACAGCAACAACTACAAGCCTGGAATATATTCAACTAGGTGGCAGCATGGAAATTAAAGACAGAATAAATATAAACCCCAGCAACCATACGTACTTTGGAGATCTCCAAGGCCTGTTGGCTGCCTCTAGTAACATGCATTGCAAGGGGAATCAATAGAGCTGCTTCTGTATCAGTGAGTTCTCCACTGTGAAAAATCTGCTGAGCAAACTTCAAGCTGTCTACAGTTCCAGCCATGCGAAGACCTTCCAAGAACCAAGCTCTGCAGAAGAGAAAACAATTGACCATAGAAAATCATTATAGGCAAAGTCATTTAAGACAGATTGAGGCAGCATGACCAATCAAATTTTGTATCAGCACATAATATGCTAAAGTAATCGGGACCATAAGGTACCTGATCATTCTACTGCTGCAACACAAAGCCACTTTGCAGTGTTGCTGGGTCCTCTTCGATTAAACCACTTCAAAGGTATGGGAACAAAATTCAAAATACTGAGTCTTATAAAGTTTGTATTTACACAGGAAATTCAGCAGGGAACTTGATTTTGTTTTTGAAGTAGAGGCCAGATTGAATATCTTATGATGTCTAACACACCGCTGGGGCTTTGAATATATTTGTATACAGATTAGTGATGGGCTCGATGTTCGAGTCGCACAACAGTTCGACTCGAACATCGCTAGTTTGTATGTGCGGCGAACACACAAACTATCAGGGCGTTCGGCGGGCTGTTCGTCCGCCAAGTTACCCACAAGGCACTACGCACCAGACAGTGCCTTGTGAAGCCCTGATTGGGTAAAGCAAGATTTGCCCAATCACGGCACTGTGCTCTATAAGAGCCATGATTGGGCAAAGTAAGGATGACTTTGCCCAATCATGGCTCACCTGTCAGGTGCCAGACAAATGTAAATGGTTAGGTGGAGCTAGCGTAGTGTAGATGTCACCATTAGCTCTGCCCAATTGTTTATATGTTGCCGACATCTGTCAGAATGCCATTCTGCGGCGGGAGTTCATCGCGAGCAGACGGGTCGGCGGGTATCGGGTTTTAAAAAAAATAATTTCTATTTATTTATTCTTGTTTTATTTTCTATTTTGTGGTTGTGGACAATGCTGGACGTCGTGATTGACCATGGATTACATCAGTGGATCCATTTCTTTTTTTAACAATAAAGGACTTGTCAAAAGCACTTGTTGTGTTTTTTTTCTATCAAAGGATTTTAAATGTTAAAATCACTGCTCCTTTAAAAAAAGTTTTTTTTTCATTGATTCATGTCCCCCAGGACAGTACCTGAATCCCCATACACTTTTTTGGCCAATAACATGCATGTAAGCCCTCTTAAAGAGGACAATTGATTTTGAAAGTTCTACCTCTATAGACTTGCATTGAGTTTGATGTTCGTATTCGAACTTTTTGGATGTTCTGAACTTAGTTCGAATTCGAAGCGAACTCGGACCTGTTCGGCCCATCACTACACAACACCACATGAATAGGTCTTGCTTTAGTAATAGAGATTGCCTAATGTAAAAATTTTGAATATTTTAACAAAGGAGCTGTGATATTGTTTTCAAATAAAGGCCTATGTGTATGCATCTATCTATAAATAAATGAAAAAGGCAAAAGAGTGACATTTATTTATGTTTTTGATTATGAAAATAACAAAAAAATATATACACATACATACATAAGATCAAACCTCCCTGTCAAACACTAACAATACATTATACAGCTTTCGGCAATAACAATGTGCACTAAAAATGCGCAACAGCATGGGTTGTGCCCTCACAGAAGTTACCCGTACACAGCTCAGGACTGGTGAGCCAAAGAGAAACTTGTGGTGGGCTGTTTTTGGCCCACGGGCCTTGTAATTGACATATATGACCTAAATAAAGATGTTTTAATTAAAAAAACCACACATAGGGAATACGTGCAAACCCCATGGAGATGGTGTTCTGGCCAGGGGAGGAACCAGGGACTCCACTGCAGCAAGGCAGAATTGCTAACCATTAGGCCACTGGTATTATCGTCATAAATCTTGGAACAGCCTACAGAGTATTATCCACTATATAAAATTACTTTTAAAAAGGAAGCAGTTGAAAAAACAAAACACATGCCAAAATTGAAGAACAATACCATGTCCAATAGGATCATCCAGCATCAATTCTTTTTTTAATCCTCAAGCAATTTCTTTGGTACTATTATGTATATAGTGCAGAAAATGTGTGGTGTGCTTTAGCACACTGCACATGCACATCAGTCTGTGCCCTTAAAGGAGAACTATGAGCCGAGTGATTTTCACTCAACCTCATAGTTTGAGCCAACATGTGACAATGAAACTGTCACACTTCGGCTCAATAAATCGGCAAGTGAGCGAAAACATACCATCGCTCGCTCACTTCTCGATCATGTTGCTGCAGAGAGCCGAGACTGTCACTCACAGCTCCATGCAGGGTTTCCCCCCTCCCCGCTCTGATTCTCCAGCGCTGAGTGGCAGAACGGATGGGGGAAGGGGCGGGTACAGCTGGCTCTGCCTATAGATAGTCAGAGCCAGCTGTCACTCACTCATCTGGGCGGATCTCGACAGTAATTTCGGGATCCGTCTTGGCTGCGGTGGTCTCAGTATACCGTGAGCTGTAGCTCGCGATATACTGAGCTTTGGGTCACGGGAGGACGCTAGTTTATGTTCTCCCGTGACCCTTAGGAGAACTAGGGGGAGAAAACACTTAACCCATAGTTCTCCTTTAAGGGAATTACAATCTAAGGGCTTCTTAGAGGGTGGCTACTTTTGTTTCCCATGGACCCTGTGTGTGTTGTAAAGTAGTCACTGCTCCAAGCTTGCTCCCATGATAGACTACAATCTCACGTTTGGTTTACGAATTTGTATGAAGACTGTAGTTTAAAGTACTATTAGTTTAAAGTATCTGCTTCATGTCTAAGCGTTCTCTTCTTGATAAGAAGCTACCTTTATCATGAAGGAAATTAGCAAAGCAATGTCCTTGCACCTATGATGGTCCAAATGTTCTGCTTGCCAGACCCTCTGAGAGAATGAAGTTCAAAATGGGCACTCCCTAAATGTGCAGCATACTTACCAGATATTACGCATCTTTTCTGGACCTGCCCAATAATTGCCACCTTTTGGAACCAAACATTGGCCTATATGGGGTCCATCACGAACACCCGTCGAGAGGTCCACCCCCTGCTATGTCTATTCCATTACCTTCCTAACACACATCTCACACAGCAACTCCCTCTGAAACGCTGGGAACACTTGTGCCTACTGGGAGCCAAAAAATGTATACTGCAAAAATGGTTAATCAGTGAATCGCCACATCTTTCTGATTTGAAAAGTATACTTTTAAAATTTTTCTCTATGGATTTGATAGACGCGTCTACCTGTTCCTCTGATTGTAATGTAAACATGTCTGATTGGGATGACTTTATTAACCAAGACATTTCCATACATCATAAGGCTAACTTGCAATCTTTCATTCTAACAAATACAGGCTATGATATACCTTGTTAGACACTCAAATTCCCCGTTATGTTGATGACATGTATAGCATATATTTTCGATCTTTGTTCCTCCAGGAGACTTACATTCAATGTAAACTTTGAATACTTACCAAAAGCCAGCTACTACCGCTAAGACGTACATGCAACACCCCCCCTCCACAACCAATTATACCTAGTCTAAGACCTATTATAGACACAAGTCGATTCCATGCAATAGCCCTTTCATCACCACAAAGAAACCCAACGAGTCCCCGATACCCACTGCGAGAACGCTACAGAATTTTTGTTATGTAAAATTTGCTCTGCTCTGTTTGATTTATTTTTTTTCTTTCTTTTTACTTGTCAGATCTTTATGTATTTAACTCATGTTAGCTAGATAGTAGATTTTGGCATCAATGTCCCGGATGCACTCCGCTTCCAGCATTTGTCGTTGTTATATTTTGTTTGTTTCCTGATAACTCCAATGCTATGGAGGCTCTTTAGAGTAATAGATGACATCTGACCTTTTGACAATTTGAAAATATGCTGTATGACATCTTGCTCTATTAATCTGATTTTGTTTCATCAATAAAATCTTATTGCTAAAAAAAAAAAAAAAAATGGGCACTCTTTTCTTTTCAGTAGACTAGGTGTAATTTAGGCACATCAGAAATAGAACTTGGACCCATCTTTAGATGTAAGCACTAGGAGCTATAACATGGTTTATAAGGAGCTTACTGACCTGTGTCTTGTCTTTTGACAAGACACCGCTTCCATACGGTATGTAAAAAAAAAATGGGCACTCTTTTCTTTTCAGTAGACTAGGTGTAATTTAGGCACATCAGAAATAGAACTTGGACCCATCTTTAGATGTAAGCACTAGGAGCTATAACATGGTTTATAAGGAGCTTACTGACCTGTGTCTTGTCTTTTGAGCAAATTGCTTCCATACGGTATGTAGAATCTCGGGAGAAGCATGGCGCAACAGCTGAATTAGTTGCATGAATTTCACTGAGACATCCTGGTGGATCTTCCCCTGGTTGTATTGTACCATGTGTTGTATAGTTTGCTCAATCTGAGAGGAGTAAAGCATAGAACTTGTCAGATTTTTGAAGTGTATCAGGACCTGAGCTATGAAAATAATGAGAATTTGGTTACATGATATACAATATTCTGTTACCTTTATTTAAAATTAATTTTCAAAAGGGCAATATCAGGTTTTAGCGCATTACCTGAGCTTCAAGGCTTTTAGGCTTTAGAAGAACAAATGGAATCTGGTATATTTCATCAGTAAAGTTGTAGTGGAGATTTCAGCGCTTCTGGTACTGAATCTGAGGGGGGTTTGATTGGCTGCTTCTGGTTCCAGCCCAGGTCAGGACTTGCCTAAAAACAAAAAAACATTTAGACCGACATTTAGGGTCTATACATAAATAGCCAAAGAAAGGCTACTTTAATTGTCCAAAGTGTTATTCAAGGGCTTTCCAATATTAGCATGAAAGACAAAAATACTGGCTATCAAATTGTTACGTATAGTCTTTTGTGAGTGGAGACAGTGTATTCCAGAGAGTTTCTCATGGCACAACCTTTATAATCTTGAAAAAAACCCAACAAAAAATGGATTCCAGAGGTTAAAATTGAGTCATATTAAACACATCTAAGCACACCATCAGGCTTGGAAATACTGTTAAAAAGCTGATTGGTCGGAGTTGGATGATCTCACAGTATGCCTTCATACTGGAGTGGTTTTCCAACCTGTTGAAACTGAAAAGCTCTTCACATAGGGCCATACAATTTGAAACTGGATTACACTGTTAAATAATTGTACGCACTAGGATATGTCTGGTAGCCTACCAAGCTGCGTAGTGTTTAAACAGATTTGAAGGAGACTAAAAAGAGTTTATTGGTAAACACTCACTTAGCTTCCATTATGGCACTACCATTACGTTCCTGTGATGTAGTATAGTATATGGTCTGTTCTAAGACGACTTCCTGGATGATGTTGTTTTTCAACTTGATGGTGGATGTTGCAGCATTACGTACATTTCTGTGCATCTAGATGAAGGACAGGGAGGAAATCAATCATCAATAAAGGGGTTATTTATAAAAAACAAATAGCTGAGAAAAGAAAATGGGAAGCAAGGCAGGGTTGTTGACCATAGAGACCCATCAGCGTCCATATTTTATTATTTAGGAACATGAAACAAGGACTCTAATTGGTCATTATGGACAGCAGCCACACATTAACATTTTGTTTAGATGCCTTAAGTAAGATTTTATATAGATACAAACTGTACCCTTTGGCAAGGTTCGCAATGATCCATGAAAGCCATTCCAACGTTCTTGGATACTTTGTCTTGGCAGTTGTTGAAGTCTATGGATTTTACAACAAGCAGCTGGTCTCCCTTCTGCTCTGGAACCTTGTATCTGGTGTCGCAGACACCCCCAACGCTGGACTGTAATACAGTATGAAGTAGAGAAGTGATCGTTGAACATTAAAAGCATGCTAACCTCAAACATTCTCCGTTCTTAATTGTGTCTGGGTCAGTGCAGTGTATACACTACAAAGACTTTGATATTACCTCTTAGTTTTGTATCTCTAACACTGCTTTCTTTTATATTTTAACATTTGTACTCCCTAGCTGTTTAGGCCATGCCTACACATATGTACCATCCCATACTGATAAAAAGGAAGACATATGGAGTTCCACTCAAGCAGGACAACCTTACTAAATCCTTTGTAGACACTAGGGGTCCTGAGAAAAAAAACCCTTGTACAGTACACCTTTCTGTTAATATTTATAATAGCGAAATACTTCTGTTGATCAGAACATGAAAAATGAAATTCCCTCAAAAAATCAAAGAATAGTCAAAATCTCTAAAACAAACACCAACCTCTTGCAGGTCGTGCACATTCCGGGACTTTTTCATTTTGACATTGAACATGTTGAGCATTCCTCTATACAAGTTGAGGACAGTCTCCGACACATTGCTAGGGGCAAAGATGTCTCCAATAAGTCCATTGCGTTCCTCAAACCTGACGGATCTCACAAACTGGTCAGACAAAGTCTGACTCAGCTTAGAGGCACGAGAGACTCGATTTTTGGGCCACGCACCTGTAATCTCTTTCATGTTAATAGTCATAGCCTAAAAGAGAAAAATATCAGTGGTTTAGGTACTATTAAAATGTCATGAATTACTGTTAACGTAAAAAGTCAACAACTATTACCATTATGGTTGAATATAAAACTCAGTACAAAGTAATGTCATGTGCCAGAAACACAATTGGATGAATACTGAAATCCTTTTTCTATGATCAGGCATACCTATGAGGAAAAGCTGCTTGATGCAAGGACCCACTGAGGTTAAAATTTATAGGAAGGCCAATTAGACCTAGACCTAGAGTGAATTTTATTTTTGGGTAGCAGGGACAGAAAGATATACAGTCATAGAGACAGAATAAAAAAATTCACTCTTCAATCAATCCTGTCCATGTCTATCAGTGTGACCTAAGCTAGCGTCCATAATGTCTCCTAATTGCTTTGGATTAATGTGTCTTTATTACCTGAATTTCATATGTCCTTTCACCATGGGGCCTGATCTCCAGCTTAGCGAGCAAATTAATTCCAGTGTGGCCAAAGTTATTTTCAGGAAGTCCGATCATGGTGTAGGCCTCATATTCATACAGGGTTACATTATCCTGGCTGAACCTAGGTTCTGAAAAAGATATTGTTTATTGATTGTTAGCTGACAGCAGGACTTGACAGCACAATAACTACTCTTCTGCATACGGCCAGGATGTAGGTGAAGTTTCTCAGCAGGGGCGGACTGACAATGCATGGGGCCCCAGGGCAATACAAAATGATGGGATCCCCTTGTGCTCCGCCCCATATACAAGCCCCACCCACATATACATTCTTGCACCCCCTGCATACCTCTTCCTACACTGTTTACCTCTGCATCCCTCTTCCTACACTGTTTAACTCTGCACCCCACACATCCCTCTTCCTACACTACCCACCTCTGCACTCCTGCATCTCTCTTCCTACACAGTTCACCTCTGCCCCCCCTGCATTCCTTCTACTACAATGCTCATCTCTGCACCCCTGCATCCCTCTTCCTGCATTGCCCACCTCTGCACCCCTTGCATCCCTCTTCCTACACTGTTCACCTTTGCTCCCGCTGCATCTCTCTTCCTACACTGCCCACCTCTGCACCCCTGCAACCCTTTTGTAATGCTTCTCACATCTGCACCTTCCTTCATACATGGCTCACCTCTGCAACCCTGCAAGGGGGTTTAGAGGTGATCACTGTAGGAACAGGGATGCAGAGTATAGGTGATGTACAGTATAGGTGGCGTTATTATAACGTGTGATATACAGTATAGGCGGCGTAATTATACCGTGTGAATAAAAGTTGTATTTTTATCATAGCTTGTAATCTGTTTCTTGGGGACTTAACGGAATGGGAGGCTTTAAATGGAGCCGGTATTGGAGAAATGGGTGTAGCCACTGCAAAGGTGTGGTTACTGAGGCATGTGGTCACTAGGGGGCCCTGTAAAGCTTTCTCGCACTGAGCGCCTAAAGGCCTAAGGCCGGCCCTGCCTGCCAGAGTCTTCTAGCAGGCCCTGGCCAATAAGTACCAACTGGGCGGAGCTCTACACACATATGGTAGAGTATTTTTCTTTTGATTTGACATGTGGGAACTCTTGTTGATACACAATGCAAATGAGGAGGCTTGTGGAACACTCGTCTGACACATTGTTCGCACAGACCTGCTGAGACTGGACAGCCATGCTCCGACCAGGCGGGTCTGGGTGGACAACGCATCAAAAGGACTTCTGGGCTTCCTGCCCCACTGAAATAACATCCTTCTTAGCTCTTCCAAACGAGGAAGAGGTTCTTCGATGACCTCCTGAATCATGCGTTTCTCTGCCGGAGAAGTCTTTGTGCTGGGGGATGAATCCTGACTTCCCTCCTGTGGATTTATTTCTCCATGAAAGTATAGCTGCCCCTCATTTCACCCTCTATATTATGAATCTTAATGACTATTCCCTAAACCAGGGACGTCCACAATTTTTCGTCTGGAGATCTACTTTTCATGGTGGTGCATTGAAGTCAATAGCCCCCACCCACAGTGCGATAGCCCACACCCGGAACGCAGGCACATTAGTGCTGCGAGCACTATTTTTGCAGATTGCACTGGACTGGAATTCAGGCACTAGTGTGCCTGCGTTCCGGGTGCGGGGGTTCGTGCTGTGGGGGGGGGTGGGGGGGGGGGTGTCTGCGGTGCCATTGACTTTAATGTAACCGCACTCCCCCATCTGCCTCTGAATGCAGGGATCTGGCCGGCTTGCTTTCCAGTGCGTTCTAAGGGCCGATCACCACTTTGTGGTGTGAACCAGCCCTCTCTTGGCTGTCTCTTCTTTCTCTCCTCGTGCTCTCTCTCCTCGCCCTCGCCCCTGTTTCTATCTGATGTATCTGATGTCTCTTTTCTCACTTTCTCTGCTGTTTCTTTTCTCACTTTCTCTGCTGTCTCTCTTCTCTCTCTCTAGTGTCTCTTTTCTCACTTTCTCTGCTGTCTCTCTTCTCTCTCTCTAGTGTCTCTTTTCTCACTTTCTCTGCTGTCTCTCTTCTCTCTCTTTGCTTTCTCTTCTCTCACTTTCTCTGCTGTCTCTCTTCTCTCTCTCGACTGTCTCTTCTGTCACTTTCTCTGCTTTCTTTCTTATCTCTCTCTGCTGCCTCTTCTCTCACTCTCTCAGCTGTGTCTCTTCTCTCAGTTTCTCTGCTGTCTCTTCTCTTTCTCTGTTGTCTCTCTTCTCTCTCTGTGCTGTTTTTCTTCTCTCTCTCTGCTGTTTTTCTTCTCTCTCTCTGCTGTCTTTCTTCTCTCTCTCTGCTGTCTTTCTTCTCTCTCTGCTGTCTCTTCTCTCACTTTCTCTGCTGTCTCTCCCCTGTCTGTCTTTTCTTACCTCCACTGCAGCAGCTTCCATGGTCTCCTCTCGTGCGCCGCCGCGGTGCTCATGTGGCCGAATGTGGCCGACGTTGCAAACGGGGAGAGGTGTCCCGCCCCTTCCCTTCTGCGGTGTCTGACACATTCACCCGGCAGCCGCGGGAGGACAGGACACAGGTCAGTGAGTCGATCGCAATCTACCAGTGCTCACTTTGCGATCGACCTAATGGGCAGCCCTGACCTAAACAAATTCTCGGAGACCAAAAATGTGGGCAACCAAAATACTCAACTTAGAGATGTAGCAGAAATATAAATGGAGAAATAATGTCACCAGCACACCATACGAGTAATTTAGCAACAGTCCATTTAATGACACATTGCCATTCCATGTGTCATTAAATGGACTGTTGCTAAATTACTCGTATGGTGTGTTGGTGACATTATTTCTCCATTTGTGTTATTCACGGTGCCGTCCGTGATCACTACAGGCACCCACCCGTTACGGTAAGGACTGCAGCAAGATCTCTGGTTTCTAGTAGCAGAAATATAAACACAATTTTGTTGAAACATACTTTATTTTTTATGTATTGTCTTTTCACTTTTATTTTCTTAATACTATTTGCTTAAACAGCACTAAATAGTTAAAAAGTATATGTAAAGTCAAAACCTTAAGTTTTGGATAGAATAAGGAAAGGGAGAAATATCTTTCAGTTTATG